CTCATTTTCTTTAATTTGTTGCATCAATTCATTAAACGAGAGAACATCATAGACCCACTATTTCACTTGCCAAAAGCACGTCTCTATTTTAAGGGGGAAAACATCAGGGCAATAAGGCTCAAAAGGAAGAAAATATATGGAAGGAAGGAAGTGAGGGAGGGGAAAAAATAGGGAAGGAAGGAAAGAAAGAAAGGAAAAAAGGAATGGAGGGGGAGAGAAGGGGACTATTTTAGAGACACAACAGTTCTAACAGTTTGTATATTTTATAAAAAATGAGTATTCTTTGTGACCCTTGTGAAGATATCTACCATGGAGATTGGCTTTGGAAGATTAGGAGGAAATTGGATCTTTGAAAATTATAGCACTAGAAAATCAAAAGGACTAAGTAGAGGCAGTGGTCGCCAAACACAGTGTTTCCTCAGACATACACTACCAGTGGTAGGCAATATTATCTAGGTGGCACTGGACACTATACTGGGAGCTCTAGTGGCGTAGTGCCTAAGGCACTTGACTTCTAATCAGAAGGCTGGCAGTTCAAACCCACCAGCCACTCCTCTGAAGGAAGACTGGGCAATCTACTTCCATAGTGATACTGCCTCAGATATCCAAGGAGAGGTCACCATGAGTTGGATCTGACTCGACAGTAGTGAGTTTTGAATGAGACATTGTACTATATGACATTGAATATTACATAATGAGGTGATTCTCTTTCCATAGTTTTGATCATGTCAAAGAAGAAGTCTGCTTGGTGCTATTATGTTTTATCACAATGTTGTTGTTAGTTGCTGTCAAGTCAACTCAGACTCATGGTGACCCCATGAGTACAGAGTATAACTGTTCCATAGGGTTTTCAAGCTGTGACGTTTCAGAAGCAGATTGCCAGGCCTGACTTCCAAAGCACCTCAGGGTGGCTTTAAACTGCAAACCTTTTGGCTAACAGTCAAGCACTTAACTGTTTGCATGACCGAGGGACTTTTATCACAATTAACTCTTGCTTGATTTCCTTTTATAACAAATACAGATCAGGACTCAGCCTCAGATCTCTTACGGCAGGGAGTGTTGACATAATATTTAAAGTGATGATGTTCTCTTCTTTCTAAATAAAGTTACTTAAATAGTCAGTTAAAGGAAAATATTAATGAAATAATATTACAAGGAATATATAGATATATCAAAAATTTTAAGGTAGTATGTTATATCTATTAGTATAAGCTAGGTTATAGTGCATCTGAAAAAAAAAAGCAGAAAAACTCATGACATAGCAAAGATTTATTTCTTATCCATATAAAGTCTCTGAAGCTCCAAACACCTCTAGGGCAATTGTCTTCTGAGAGGTGGCTCAGCAACACAGGCTGCATCTTGTGGCTGTTATATCTAGAATTGGACTTCTTGGTCCCCATGCAAGGAAGGGGGATGTCCTGGAAAATTGCACACCAGCTCTTCCCTGCCTACTCTTGAGAAGTTTGACATGTTCCTCCCACTCACACTTTATTGTTCAAAGCACTGACTGTGCTTAAATTCAAGGGAGTGAGGAGGTGCAATCCTCTGAGTAACTCAGAAGGGGAGGAGAGTGAGAATATCGCTGGCAGTAACCTCTACCACTTATGTGAATGGCTAGAGTTTGAGGATCAGTAGATCAAGGCATTTCCTTAAGGAAGAAACAGACCAAAGAGTGACTGTATAGGGGAGAAAAGGAAAAACATCTGAACACCTCCTGGTGAATGGACAATACAAAGTAAACTAACCCATTAAGATGCAGTCAATTCTAACACATAGTGACCCTATAGGACAGAGTAGAACTGGCTCATAGGGTTTGACAGAAGCAGACTGCCATATCCTTCTCCTGTGAAGTGGCTGGTATATTTTAATCACTGACATTCTGGTTAGCATCCCGGTGATTACCCAGGACTCTTTGAGATAAACTAGTCAACAGAATTACCTTTTGGCATTTGCATTCATTTTACAAAACTCAACCACTGATATGGGCTCTTTATAGACCATATCCACCATATCTCATCATCATTTTGGGTTTTGTTTGTAAACTATTGTTATACACTAACAGTGCTTAGACATGTTTCTTTAACAAAGCAGATTTTGCCAGGCTGCAAAACCCCATCAGTGGGAGAGTGTTCATATCCCCCTGTTCTTGTCTTACAGACTTGGATCCACATGTTCGTCATCATTGGTAGCTTCTTGTCTTATTTTTTCTTTGCCTTGGCTTTTGGAGCTATGTGTGTAACTTGCAACCCACCATCCAACCCCTACTGGATTATGCAGGAGCACATGCTGGATCCAGTGTTCTATTTGGTTTGTGTCCTCACCACCTGCATTGCTCTTCTACCCAGGTACAGTACTTGTTTTGTAATCAAAAAAGTAAATGGAATGAAAGGTAATGGGATTCTTTGAGCAACTAAGAATGGATGGTAGACGCTCTATTGAGTAGTGGGGAAGCCAGTCTGTGTCCTAATTAAAATATTGGTTTTACATATTTTAATAGTAGCAAATGTGACTTCAGCAAACTAGAAAGTTTCTTTCTCTCTCATATAAAAATTTAATCTGGTTGGAAATGTTTGCTTCTCAAGGTTATCAAAAGTCCTCAGTTCCCTCCTATATCTTTATGCTCTGCTGTCTACAAAGGGTCAGATGATTGAGGGTGACTCAACCATCAGCATGTCATGTCCCTGTTCATAGGAGGGGGAAAAAAAGTAGAGTGCAAGCAGTTTTACTGTTTTAATATTTTGATAGCGTGACCCACAAGTTGCTCACATCATTGCTCATATCCCATTAACCCCAACCTAGGTCTGTAGACTCCAACAGAATGGCTAAAATCAAGACATTTTTGAAAGGAAGAAAGGGACAGTGGGTACTGAGAGATAAGCGTCAGTTTCTACAACCATCTGTAAACACCAAAAACTTTACAGCTTCCCTCCTTTATCTGACTTCAGTTATCCTTCCCATTTTAACTTAATCTGAATTTGGATAGTGTTGTTGTTGTTGTTGTTATGTGCCATCGAGTCGGCCCCGACTCATAGCGACCCCTCCTTGGGTTTCCGAGGCAGTATCACTACGGAAGTAGGATTGCCCAACCTTCCTTCCGAGGAGTGGCTGGTGGGTTTGAACCGCCAGCCTTCTGGTTAGCAGTCAAGTGCTTTTAGCCACTGTGCTACCAGAGCTCCTTTGGATAGTGTATGGGATGAAGATAACCAAGAAGGTTGCATCCATCTATAGATTCTTTGAATTCTCTTAGAGCCCTTTCTCTTTATAGTGTTTTGAAATCTGTTTTGCTGAAAACAACATAGCAAATAATTGTTCTGCATTTTTAGCATGACATGCTGATTTGATATTAATGTATAATAGGGTTGACAAACTGTGTCTGACAGACCAAATCTGGCCTGCTACCTGTCTTTGCAAATAAAGTTTTACTGGAACATAGGCATGCACAGTCATTTACTGAGTGTCTGTAGCTGCTTTCATGCTTACAGCAGCAAAGTTGAGTAGTTCCTCAGAGTCCATCTGGCTCTCAGAACCTAAAATATTACTATCTGGTCCTTTACAGAAAAAGTTGATAAATCTCAAGGCACAATGAGAATAATCTCGTTGTTGCTAATGGACATCCCTTCTAGAAATGCAAAAGAAAATCCCACTTGAGCCAGTCTATGATAGCTATAGCTGTACACCTAACAGTATCACTGTTAACTGAGTTGCTTCTGTATTTTTTCATTGTGATAATGCTTTCAGACTAAAAGCTGACAAGATGAGCTTGTAGGATTGATGACAAAATAGTTACTTTAAGATTTAAAAGAAAAAAAAAAAAACCCAAAACCATGGCCATCAGGTCAATACTGACTCATTACGACCCCATAGGACAGAGTAGAACTGTCTCATAGGAGTTCCAAGGATTTTTATGGAAGCAGACTGCTTCATCTTTCTCCCATGGAGCAGCTGGTGGGTTCAAACCACTAACCTTTTGATTAACAGCTGAATGCTTTAACCACTGTGCCACCAGAACTCCTAGTTTACGGTTATAGCCTTTTAAGAATTGCTTCAAATGCATTAACAGTACAGTTCTACTAATCCAGTTGTCATAGGCTGAAACAATGGCCCACAAAAGATATCTGTATCCAAATCCCTGGAACCTGTGAATGTTACTTTATGTGGCAAAAAAGGACTTTGCAGATGGGGAGATGAGCCTGTTTTATCGGGGTGGACCCTGAATGAAATCACATGGATCCTTATAAGAGAGGCAGAGGGACATTTGACACAGATAAGAAAAGGTAATGTGAACACAGAAGTGGACATTGAAATGATTGGAAGTTTCTTCAAACTCCGGAATCCTTTCTTCCTTCCACTTTCTGCTTTTTGGAAAAGGAATGTCATAGCTGTTACCCTCTGTCTGTCGTGGCACAGTATTTTGGGAGCGGGTAGTTTGTTTCTAAGTTTTACAGATCTACAGATGGAGAAGAATTTTACCCAAGATGAGTCACACCCAGAATCTTATCCATATTTAATTTAGATTATGAAATTTGAGACTTTCAAGCTGATGATATTTAGGTGAGATTTTTTAACTTGAGTTAATATATATTGTAATAGGTGGAGACTTTTGAGCAGGTTAGGATAAGGTGGATGGATTTTTGCATATGGGATGGATATAAATCTTTGGACCCAGAAGGAAAACTCTAGGAGGCTGAATAATGATCTCCAAAGACAACATAGCAACCCCTCCTTGGGTTTCCGAGGCAGTATCTCTATGGAAGTAGATTGCCCAGTCTTCCTTCCATGGAGTGGCTGGTGGGTTTGAACCTCCAGCCTTCTTGTTAGCAGTCAAATGCTTTAGGCACTACACCACCAAAGCTCCCCCTCCTAATCCCTAGAACCTATAAATGTTATTTTGTATAGAAAAGGAGTCTCTGTAAATATGGTTAGGAGCTCTGGTAGTGTAGTGCCTAAGGCATTTGACTGCTAACCAGAAGGCTGGGGGTTCAAACCTTAAATTAAGGATCTTGAGATGAAGAGATTAACCTGGATTGAGTAGGCCCTAAATGCAGCCACACGTGTCCTTGTAAGAGAGAGGCAGGGGGAGAACTGATACAAGAGAAACCAGTGTGACTTCAAAGGTAGCAAATGCAATGATGCAGTCACAAACCAAGGAAGCTGGAAACTGCCAGAAGCTAGAAGTAAGGAAGGATTTTCCCCTAGAGTCTTCATTGGGAGTACAGCCCTGCCAACACCTTTATTTCAGCCCAGTGTGATTTTAGTCTTCTGGCCCCCAGAATTGTGAGAGAATAAATGTGTTGTTCTAAAACACCATGTTTGTGGTAATTTATCACAACAGCCATAAGAAAGTGATACCATTGACTAGCATTTTTCTAACACTTTCTATGTGCTAAAACTCCATATGCTTTGCATGTTTATCTCATGATCCTGACTTCAAGCCTATGATGTAGCAACTATGGATATTTCCACATTTATGGACTTTTTTTTTTTTTAACAAGCACATATAAACCTACTACCATTGAGTTGATTCTTACTAATAGCAGTCCTATAAGACAGAGTAAACTTCCCCACAGGGTTTCCAAGGCTGTAAATCTTTATAGCAGCAGACTGTTCATCTTTCTATTGTGGAGCTGCTGTTGAGTTGAATTACCGACCGAGTACTTAAAATGTTCTAAGTGGCTTACAAATACTAGTAAATTTAATATTGTTATCTTTTAGAATTAATTTTTTATTCCTCTTTACCTCAAGTAAGCAAAATCCTTTGACTTTTTCTAGTTGGTGGGTGTGTCCCATGTTGCATTTGAGGTTTATGTAATCCTGTGATGCTCTTTGTATCCTAGGTTTATATACCGAGTTCTTCAGGGATCCCTGTTTCCGACTCCAATTCGGAGAGCTAAGCACTTGGACGTACTGACTCCAGAGAAAAAGACTGAAGCTCTCAAGAAGTGGAGAGGAACTGGAAGGATGGATCAAGTGGCATGTAAATATGCTGACCTTTCAGCTGCCAAGTCAGGGCGAACACCCAATTCTGACCATTCCACAGTCTCTGCAATGATGTCAGCAACTTCTTGTGCTGTTGAGCAAGGAATTGTATCTGTATGTGAAACTGCGTTAGACATCTCAGAGATGGCTGGGCCACCCAAGGATTAAGAATACAGGATAGCCCTCTCAGAGTGCAAGTATCCCTCCAAGTTTAGAAGAAAGACTTTGAGGATGTACTGCTACCAAGAAAGAAAAACTTGATTTTACCTTAAGGGACGTGAACATTTTGATGGGCTTGGAAGAGTCATCATGAGGGCCTTTATTGTATGTTTGCAGATACATTATAAGACAGAAATAGTTTGACATAGATTTTTGGGAAGCGAAAGACTTCATTCAGAATCAAATGCTTTTATGAAACTTTCTGGATTTTGTAAAAGTATTTTATTTGTCTTAGAAATTCATATATTTTAAAGGGGGGATTCACTTGAGATATATTTATTTTAATGGGAGATCATCTCAGATACTTGAGAAATGCTAGATATGAGCAAACACCAATCTGAATTTTTTTTTTTTTTTTTAATTAAGAAAGAAGGAGTTTCTAAACTGATTGGTTAGAACACAGCGATTTCCACATGGAAAATGTTATTAATGGTTAATTTCCAGATAAATTCTCAAGAGCCTTTTAAACAACAGCGTACCTAAAATAGGGTAATAACACTTGTCCTATTTAAAATACTGTTAGTGATCATTAATAACTTTTTGTTTCCTGTGGGAAGATGCTTTTGGTCATCTGACAGAAGATGTTAGACATATCTCTCTGCTCATTTTAGTGCTCTGATCCAAAGCCTTTGGCAGGAAGGTGCAAAAGGGTTGCTTGGGGACAATCAGGTACCAAGACTGTGTTCTTCTCTGATTCCAGTCAAGAGAACAACTTTCATGTGACCTACCTCTGCATAGATGTTCTGAATTGGGAAACAGAAGTCATGAGTCAAGCAGACAGACTCAGCTGAACCTACAGCCCATTTGGAAATTTGCTGTATTCCAAAACTGACAATACCCATCACACCATCACCTTGAGTTGCCATTAAGTTGATTTTGACTCATAGTGACCCTATAAGATCCCTGGGTGGTGCAAAAATATTTGTGCTCAACTACCAACCAAAAGATTAGTGGAAGAAAGGCCTAGTGATCTACTTCCATAAGATTATAGCCATTGAAAACTCTGTGGAGCACAGTTCTACTCTGAAACTCATAGGGTTGCCGTGCAACTAACTGACAATAACCTGATCAAAATGAGACAATCAATATCAAAACAATCTTCAAAGACCATTTAGAGATCGTCCTCCTTACACGATGGGCAAATCTGCTGCAAAAAGTCTTCTTTAAAGTGTTAAAAAGCAAAGATGTTACTTTGAGGACTAAGGTGCATGCCTGACCCAAGCGTGCAGCTTTCACATGCATATGGTGAAAGCTGGACAATGAAGGGAAGACTGAAGAAGAATCGATGCATTTGAATTATGGTGTTTGTGAATAGTGTTGAATATTGGACTGAATTTTGGACTGCCAAAAGAATGAATAGATCTGTCTTGGAAGAAGTACAGATAGAATGCTCCTCAGAAGTGAGGATAGTGAGACGTCACCTCATGTACTTTGGACATGTTGTCAGGAGGGACCAGTGCCTGGAGAAGGGGATCATGGTTGGTAAAGTAGGGGTTCAGTGAAAAGGGGGAAGACCCTCAATGAGATAAGACAGTGGCTGAAACAGCTCAAACATAGCAGCAGTTATGAGGATGGCACAGGACTGGGTAGGGTTTCATTTTGTGCAGAGGGTTGCTATGAGTTGGAACTGACTCATTGACACCTAACAGCAACTGTCTTTACACTACCTTGAAACTTTTCTGATGGGGGTAGCCTCTGAAAACGAGCTCATATGAACTGAAACTAAATACAGGTTGTTCTCAGGAAATATCCATGAAGTTTTTAGAAAAATTTGTTTTTTAATTCATTGTAGGACAGAAATATCTATAAATTTACTGTTGCAAATCATGTATGCTGGCTTTAGTTGGTACAAGAACCTAGTTTATATCAAATAAGGGCAGATATTATATAAAAAAATGTATTCTTGGTGAGTTTGTTTTAAATTCTTTCTATCCATCTGAAAATTTTCAGCCACCAATCAGAAAATTTCCTTCATGAATCTCCATGTCTCCATCAAGGTTTTCTTAATCACTATTAATCTTGTTACTCTCAGGGCTTAATCTTCTACCTACTGCCTACCATCCTAGTTAAGCATTTTTTGTACCCTTCTATTATTGCAAGTAGTCTGTATAACTAATCTCAAGAAATTTTGAAATCCCACATGGCTAATGGAAGTTGCTCTCTGCTTCCTTTTTTTTTTTTTTT